GTGTTGAGAGATAAAGCATATATTAGTCACATATTTAATAAGCGAATTGAGCACAGTTGATGTTGACTTGAAGGTTGTCGGTATTTTATATTCAGCAATGTAAGAGACAGCACGCGCATAAAAAAAAAAAAAAAAAAAAAAAAAAAAAAAAAAAAAAAAAAAAAAAAAAAAAAAAAAAAAAAAAAAAAAAAAAAAAAAAAAAAAAAAAAAAAAAAAAAAAAAAAAAAAAAAAAAAAAAAAAAAAAAAAAAAAAAAAAAAAAAAAAAAAAAAAAAAAAAAAAAAAAAAAAAAAAAAAAAAAAAAAAAAAAAAAAAAAAAAAAAAAAAAAAAAAAAAAAAAAAAAAAAAAAAAAAAAAAAAAAAAAAAAAAAAAAAAAAAAAAAAAAAAAAAAAAAAAAAAAAAAAAAAAAAAAAAAAAAAAAAAAAAAAAAAAAAAAAAAAAAAAAAAAAAAAAAAAAAAAAAAAAAAAAAAAAAAAAAAAAAAAAAAAAAAAAAAAAAAAAAAAAAAAAAAAAAAAAAAAAAAAAAAAAAAAAAAAAAAAAAAAAAAAAAAAAAAAAAAAAAAAAAAAAAAAAAAAAAAAAAAAAAAAAAAAAAAAAAAAAAAAAAAAAAAAAAAAAAAAAAAAAAAAAAAAAAAAAAAAAAAAAAAAAAAAAAAAAAAAAAAAAAAAAAAAAAAAAAAAAAAAAAAAAAAAAAAAAAAAAAAAAAAAAAAAAAAAAAAAAAAAAAAAAAAAAAAAAAAAAAAAAAAAAAAAAAAAAAAAAAAAAAAAAAAAAAAAAAAAAAAAAAAAAAAAAAAAAAAAAAAAAAAAAAAAAAAAAAAAAAAAAAAAAAAAAAAAAAAAAAAAAAAAAAAAAAAAAAAAAAAAAAAAAAAAAAAAAAAAAAAAAAAAAAAAAAAAAAAAAAAAAAAAAAAAAAAAAAAAAAAAAAAAAAAAAAAAAAAAAAAAAAAAAAAAAAAAAAAAAAAAAAAAAAAAAAAAAAAAAAAAAAAAAAAAAAAAAAAAAAAAAAAAAAAAAAAAAAAAAAAAAAAAAAAAAAAAAAAAAAAAAAAAAAAAAAAAAAAAAAAAAAAAAAAAAAAAAAAAAAAAAAAAAAAAAAAAAAAAAAAAAAAAAAAAAAAAAAAAAAAAAAAAAAAAAAAAAAAAAAAAAAAAAAAAAAAAAAAAAAAAAAAAAAAAAAAAAAAAAAAAAAAAAAAAAAAAAAAAAAAAAAAAAAAAAAAAAAAAAAAAAAAAAAAAAAAAAAAAAAAAAAAAAAAAAAAAAAAAAAAAAAAAAAAAAAAAAAAAAAAAAAAAAAAAAAAAAAAAAAAAAAAAAAAAAAAAAAAAAAAAAAAAAAAAAAAAAAAAAAAAAAAAAAAAAAAAAAAAAAAAAAAAAAAAAAAAAAAAAAAAAAAAAAAAAAAAAAAAAAAAAAAAAAAAAAAAAAAAAAAAAAAAAAAAAAAAAAAAAAAAAAAAAAAAAAAAAAAAAAAAAAAAAAAAAAAAAAAAAAAAAAAAAAAAAAAAAAAAAAAAAAAAAAAAAAAAAAAAAAAAAAAAAAAAAAAAAAAAAAAAAAAAAAAAAAAAAAAAAAAAAAAAAAAAAAAAAAAAAAAAAAAAAAAAAAAAAAAAAAAAAAAAAAAAAAAAAAAAAAAAAAAAAAAAAAAAAAAAAAAAAAAAAAAAAAAAAAAAAAAAAAAAAAAAAAAAAAAAAAAAAAAAAAAAAAAAAAAAAAAAAAAAAAAAAAAAAAAAAAAAAAAAAAAAAAAAAAAAAAAAAAAAAAAAAAAAAAAAAAAAAAAAAAAAAAAAAAAAAAAAAAAAAAAAAAAAAAAAAAAAAAAAAAAAAAAAAAAAAAAAAAAAAAAAAAAAAAAAAAAAAAAAAAAAAAAAAAAAAAAAAAAAAAAAAAAAAAAAAAAAAAAAAAAAAAAAAAAAAAAAAAAAAAAAAAAAAAAAAAAAAAAAAAAAAAAAAAAAAAAAAAAAAAAAAGAGTAGAACATTCAGAGTAGATCCGCCTGCTATAGCATACCCACTGTATACCAAATATAATACATATATAGTAGTATCAGACTTATGTTCCCAGCCAATATTTCCAAGTGTTGTTGCCAAGTAGGGTTGGAAAAAATCATGATTTAAAAAAAAAAAAAACATTTATTTGATTTAAATATAATTTTTTATTTTAAACGATTTTTTTTATTTTTACTAATAGCATTCAAATAATATTTTAAACCATAAAAACAGTATTTTTCAACCAAAAGTTTATTCAGGATAATAATATGAAAAATCAAGTATTAAGATATTTATGCAGTAGATGCACCAATGAATTTAACACAATATTATTTTGTAAAATAAAAGAAAAACTGGTAACATATCTCACATTTGAGTAACAAATCCAAACATAATAATGAAATTTAGCAGCAAATGCTCTATAGGACATATCAGCCCAAAATTAATAACTTAACTTCAAGTCAACAGAATATTCTCCTCATTTTGTAAAAGATACCGGTAACAGTTTATTTTCTGGTACTTGTAGGATTATAGTAGGTATTAAGAATTACCGAGATAATAACTCAAGCCTACCAATATTCTCATTCTGGAAAACAACAAAATAGTTCAAAAATTTAAATTAGCTTAGATACATTGAAATGCTTTATGTACTGTAGACAAGCTTAGATGCCTTTTCCTGGTTCTGGATACATTTCACCTTGAGTGTACAACCATATGTGGAAAAAATTTTCAACCCTGCTGATGATGCAACAGCTGTAAATAATTGCCTAGGAACATCCATTACATTTTCTGTCATATTATTGGCAAAATACTGCCACCACAAGGGTGAGAGATTTTACATCATTCTTTACCAAATAGACCCTAAATGGTGTTAACTTCTTCCATGGAAGCTGGCCATTAATGTTGAAAAGGAATGTGGAAGAGACCCGTGACACATACTGTTCTGGCAA